AGGCAAATATAACTTAGGAGTTTGGAGTACTCAGTCAAATGTGTAATCCAGTACAATAAAAGAAGCTACAATAGAAGGGCACAACTGAGCACAGCATTAAGTATTTTTAATGGCTAAAGAGTTCTCAAATATCGACTTACTTTATTTGAACTAGATCACAAAAAGTGTTTAGCTTAAATATTACTTTTTAGGCTACTAAAACTCATTTATCACAGATGTGCCTTTCCAAAAGATCACTATAGTAAAAGACACTAAACAACTCTACTGCCCAGCATAATTCCCAGCTATTTCTACACTTGCCTCTTGTCCTGCAAAGATAATATAAAGAATTAGAAGCACTCACCCACCAACAAAACTCAGAAAGAGAGTTGAGCCCTCCCTTCTGCAGGGCCATGCTTCCATACCAGACCAGACCACTACCCAGTGGATCATCACTAACTTGTGCAACGCATGTGAAGACAGTTTTAGAATGGTGACCAAACAAAAGTAAGATAAACGCTTGAAAGTTACACATCACAGTTTGTTCACATAATTGGTTTGGTTTCCTCACTAAATGACCCAAATTCAGTTGTTGGATCAGGTGCTATGCGAACAAAAATCAAGAGGTCTTGGCCTTGGCAATAAGCATGAGGGTAACTGACAACAGAGAAAGAAATTCAAGTGACAAACAGGAACAGAGTTATGAAGGTGGCAACTATATCACTTGATATCTCCTGGCAAGATTCATATAGAAATAAGTAAATAACTGTTACAACTCTAAGACATTTAGAGCAAGGTTCCCTTCTTGAAGTAAAAGTACATGTCCTCAAGACAAGGGACAGAAAATCACTGTCTTCATTAAGACCCCTTACAAGATGCCTGAACACAATGCGCAAGACAAAGAAAACCAGGAGACAAGTAGAATGGTCAGAATCATAATGTATCGGCCATGCTTTGAACTAAGGGTTTAGGAGCATGAGGTCTTATTGAAGGACAACAGCAGCAAAGATGAGAGACAAACAACTAAGAATATTATCAGCACATACAGAAGGGAAAAGGTCAGCACTTTCAAAAGTTGAGAGAATTTCAAAATCGTTTGGATGCATGAAACAGATACCTGGAAGAAGACTGATTCCAGTGTATGTGCTTGACACAGGAAAAAAAAGTGTTTTCAAAGAGAACTGGCATAGAAAAGGGGACTAATAAAGCTGTTATACATTAATTAGAAAAATACTAGGAATTCTCAGATGTTTCTTTTCCATAGCAAAAAGACAAGTCCTGTAGTGAATTTCACAAATTGTTTATGACACATGACAGTAAAGTTTTCCACTTGAAAAGTTGTTTCCATACATAATCTTTTCAGTGGTAACCCTTTGGGCATATACACTCCTCCTGCTCCTTTAAATTGAACTTGGCACTAACAAAACACTGTTTAAAGGTCTGAATATCTAATTCTTTCTACTCAGAAGTATATATAAAAAAAAAAGGCTGCCCCACTAATAACCTACCTGAGGCAGCAAGTTACTCAGCAGAGTGAGCATGTTAGTAACCCTTATTCCTCATGGGCTTGTAACAGCGTATAAGTAGCACTATACCCAGTGAGAAGTGCATTCACAGAATCTGACTCTGTTTTATTACAGGTAAACGCTACTCACAGTTTTCCATATGAGAATTGAAAGAATTGCTAATAAATTTTAAATTACTTTTTTAATTTGTATTTTTATTTTATATTAAATAATTTTTGGCAAGTAAATTCAAAAGAAAAAGAAGCAAAGTGGATTCTCTAGTTCTAAGACTGTTAAGTTTGTAGATTTAATAAAGCCACTTTCATACTTCAGTTTTAGTCAAGAAGCAAGCAGTATATCCTATGCAAGTACAAAATAAACTCAAACAGGTCAGCCAAAAATTAATCAGGGAGAACAATAAAAAATCTTAAACCACATGTCACTGCTACAGTTGTGCACACAGCGATTAGTAAAGAAAGATCACAAAGTCCTTTGCACAACCAAGCTTTGCAAACTTACTGTCAAGAGTTGCCTGTGTTCTAACACTGCTGTGCCCGTTCTGTAAACAAAGGAGAAATGAATGAATAAATCTTTTTAGAGGTATGTTAAATTTTCTGACTGAATCACACATCGAACATGCTTCATGCAATATTCTATATTCATTCTAAATTTAAAGACAAAAAAGGCAGAAAATTAACTTCGTACTGCCTTTAATAAAACCACATAATAGTTGTCTCAAGTGCAAGGTGTCCTGAACATACAGAATCCCATACACTGCCCATACTACACCCATCAGCCGGAGACCTTCCCATGTACTCTATATAACATAAACTTCAGGTTCACACCAATATGAAAGAAAGAATTGCATTAACATATAGGAAACGGTTGTGCTTTTGATCTAATGCAACTCACAATTTTAACTATCCAAGTTACACAGAGACGCCAATTTTTTTCCATTGAAAGATAAGACTTGAGAAGCACCAGTTGTTTTTTGGATAACGCTGGAGTACAGAAGTGGATAGTCTACGCTTGATCCTCACCAGTACATACGAGCTAGTGCAGAAGACAAGTGTGACTGAGCCGTTACATAACAAAGGCCAGAAGTAAATAAACTTAAAAACTCTCACAAGTTCCTAAAACATTTAATAAATTCTCTTAAAACAAACCTACATTCCATATACAAAGAGTAGGTGCTTTTGAATCTCCCAAGAGAGATCCTCTCTGTCCTAGAATAGACCTCTCCCTATGCTTTTTTAAATAAAACTTGAAACCAATTCCCACTGGTGTTTAAATCCAACATGAAAGTAATTCTGGACAGGCCACAAACAGTTTAGGAACCATCTGCTACAAATTTAATAAATAATACACTTTTGAATAAAAACTGTCTTGTTATAGCAAAATACCACGACTAACATTTACATACAGAGATAGTTCCTGTTTTAAAAGCTAAGCCTCAGGGAAAGAAACTCAACTAGAAAGTTTAGTGTAACTAAGGCAAATGTCAAACAGCAATTAAAGATGTCAAAGCCCATAAAATCAGATCCTGTTTAGCCCAAATACAGTACAGCCAAAAATGGCTACACAACAGGAAAAGCAAAAACAAATAACAGGGTGGGCTTGGGAATCAAAAAAACCCCACTCGGCTTAGTTAAAAGTATTAACATAGCAGGGTAATACAAATCTAACACGGATAAGAAAATTTCACCTTTCCAAGGTCTTATTTCTGAAATTTACTCACCGTAACTGCAACGGGGGTTGATTCAGACGGAACCATGGAGCTTTGGTAGGCTATCCTACTATGCACAGAAGCCTGGTCATAGGAGGAAGTTGTTACTGGGCTAGTGCTCTGGGATGAGCAGGTCAGACTGGAAGAGGTGATGGCAGAGGTTGTGTAGGTGGACTCCTGTACTGTATTGGATATTGGCAAAGAGGTATTCAAAGGATCACTGGAAAAAGTAAAAATTATTTATGATCTCTGTAAACATCATCTCAATCATCTTCACAAAAATACCTGCTCCTACATAATTAACTAGAACTACTTTAAACACGCAGTCAAATCTACATTTTTTTATACTATTAAATCTAATTAAATCTAACTGCTTTGGTCCCCAGTAATCACTGCTTCAAAACCATCAGCTGCACTAAGCACCATTCACATTCCTCCTGCCAGTCCAAACAAAACAAGAGTTTATACACAAGCACTTTTCAGTCATGTTATTTCCACCTTCTCAAAGGATAAATTAATGATCATAAACTCTCTTTTTTAAACAATTAGATCTATAAAGTCTGGTATATGAAGAGAAACACCCAGTCTCTTTTTACAACAGAATTCTAATGTTACAGTATCAGTCAAACAGAATGAACCATGCAAAGAGGAAAAAATACTTCAAAGAATGCAGGAGTGGTTTACTTTCTGAACAGCCTAAATCATTCCTAGAACTAAACGTGAAACTTAATTTTTACTAGTGTTTCTGAATTACATTCAGGAAGCTTTTTATTGAAGCCAATTTTTGAATGAGTAAAGAAGAAAAAAAAAAAAGGTTAGTGGTATGGTATCATTGATCATTGGATAGTTTAGTATTTCAGTAAGAGCTTCTGCATACTAAAAGCTTGTCTTCTCATCCCATAGAAGCATAAAGTCTTTAATCTGGTGCCAATGTACTAACACAGATATATGGTATAAGGGTCATCTCTTCTGGATCAAGAGCAGAAAAATTTGGCTTGTGAGGTACAAATCCTCAAACAAATTTGAAAATCAGGACAAGCAATGAGAAAGCAGTTCTACAAAGGGTAGTTCATCATACGGTTATTTACATTCATGTCATCTCCAGCTTCACACTGACCTTTCCAGTGAGATTCTGATTGTCATTACAAAAGAAATTTCTCATTTAAGATGCGATTCACAGAAAACAGCCTTACAAGTCATCATATTTCTCCTATCATTATATGGTAACTGTGCCTTGATGTTTTTGGCACAAACTTGATCCCCTAAAGAAGACATGTAAGAATGCACAAGGGGAACTCAGACATACTTTACAGATTTTGAGTACAAGCTGTTGTTGGTTGCCTGGCTGGTATTCTCGCTGCTTGAAGTTGATCCAAACTCTGGGATTGCAGGGTCTGATCCAAACTCCAGAGCTCCAAACTGAACATTTAACCCTGTCACATCTGCTGATCCAGGCATCTCTACTGCAGAGGCAGGAATCTTAAAGGAGGAAAAAAACCCCATAATTCCTTTGCATGTACTATCTGTATTAAAGATACTTGTAACTGACACTTTCTCCTCCCTTAACTGAAGGCTTCTTCAGTTACTGCCTTAGCCTTTGATGCTAACTAGATCTGCAACAACGCCCCAGTTAATAACACATAAATTAATTATATTCTTGTAACCTGAAATGAAATAGTCCTGTATCCTGATCTGGAGTTGAAAAAGTAAGCCATAGTGTTCTAGAATATCGAAGTACCATCCATATGCATCCCCCTTCAGTCAGCATTTCTCTTGAGGCTACTAAGTCTATCCAAAATCACTCAGCAACAGTCAGCTTCCACACAGAGCAATCAGGTATGTGCTTGAGAAAGACACCATCACTGTATTTTGGACTTAAAACTACCCAGCTTAGAACTTCCTGCTTTATAAACAAGAAATTATCATAGTCTTTGCTCTCCTTCTCCCTAGCAATTTATATATAGAATACAATCATAAAATCATTTAGGTTGGAAAAGACCATTAAGGCCATAGAGTTCAACCATAAACCTAACACTGCCAAGTCCACCACTAAACCATGTCCCTAAGCACCACACCTATATATCTTTTAAATACCTCCAGAGATGGTGACTCCACCACTTCCCTGGGCAGCCTGTTCCAAAGCTTGACAACCTTTTCAGTCAAGGAATTTTTCCTGATATCCAGTCTAAACCTCCCCTGGCCATTTCCTCTTGTCCTATTGCTTATTACCCGGGAGAAGAGACAACCCCCACCTTGCTACAGCCTCCTCTCAGCCTCCTTTTCACCAGGCTGACCAACCATGGAAAGTGTTCACCAAACCCTTCATCAGCTTTGGTGCTCTTTGGACGTGCTCCAACACCTCAGTGTCTGTCTTGTAGTGAGAGGCCCAAAACTGAACACAGTATTTGAGGTGTGGCCTCACCACTGCCAAGTACAGAGGGGTGATCATTTCCCTGGTCCTGCTGGCCACATCACTCCTGACACAACTTTCTGTATGTTTTTACATTTAATAAGGACAAGCCAGACATGCAATTACCCACCTTGGATGCTGGAGTTATCCTCCGTTTTGGTGGTTTTATCTGTTTCTGCTGGGTTTGATGGGCAGTCACTGCCTGGTTATCCATAGATATAGTGGGGAGCTGTAACATTTTGCTCACAGCTGTAGAGGTGTCTATTACTGATGGCTCACGGAGTTTTACCTGGGAGGAGAAGGACTCCAGCCCAGGAGGAGTAACAGGGATTGCCTGCGCTTGTTGTTGCTGTCGCTGGGTCAGCTGGCTCAGAACTGGGGATGGTTCAGGCTGGGATTTAAAGTCTGGTCAGCATTGGGAAAAAGAAATAGCAAAATTAAAGCATTGAACTCTGCTGTTCATGCTTCTACTCTTTATGAAAGAATCTGGGTGACCTGACAAACTCAACACCTACGATTTTATAGCATGTGCAAGTCTATTTCAGACACCGTATGATTTTCACATTGAACATTACCACTGGAATAATAGGGCCAACATCTGATATCCTCTACTTCAAATAAACAGCTGTGAGCAAGCATTACGTAGCTTTCTACCTATCTATACAGTCACATAATACTGTCACACATTAGTTCTCAAAAACTGTTATGGATTATTTTAATTTGTCCTGGTTTCAGCTGGGATAGAGTTAATTTATTCCTAGTAGCTGGTACAGTGTTGTGTTTTAGATTTAGTATGAGAATAATGTTGATAACACACTGAGGGTTTCGTTGTTGATAAGTAGCACATGATAAGTTAACAATTTTTCAATTTCCCATGCTCTGAGAGCAAGCAGGTGCACAAGAAGGTGGGGGGAACATGGCCAGGACAGCTGACCCCAACTAGCCAAAGGGATATTCCATACCACAGAATATCATGCCCAGTATAGAAAATCGGGGGAGCTGGCCAAAAGGCAGATCACTGCTTAGGCATCAGTGGGTGGTAAGCAACTGGATTGTACATCACTTGTCTTCTCTTGGGTTTTTTCTTCTGTTTTTTAAAAATTGTATTCCTTTTCGTTACTATTATTATGTTTTGTTGGGTTTTTTTAAATTGTATTTTTGTTATTGAACTGTTCTTGTATCAATTTGTGAGTTTTACTTTTTTCCCTGCTACTCCTCCCCATCCCACTGAGAGAGGGAGGGGTGGGGAAGTGGCTGTGTGGTGCTTAATTGATGGCTGGTTGGTTAAACCATGACATAATCAAACAGTGCATGTTTCACTGTAATTAACTGTGCCAATGAAATGTGATTACTTCCAAGGGGTCCGGAGTAGCAGTTTAGAGGTATTATGAGTTAGGATTTCACACCCCTACAAAGGAGATTTTCAGCACAAATAGGAAGTAATACACCATCTCAATCTGGCTGAAAGTCAGGAGATACTGGACACTGACAGGTGTTTTTCCCCCATGTCCTCCCCTTTCATATTTTTCAGATGCTGAAGGGCAGGCAGTGGCTCAGAGCACTGGACAACAACCGTAAGAGACCAACAGCATTTGCAGTGTGAAGGGTTTTTTATTCAGTTGGTAAAGTGCATTAGAAAGCAACTTAAAACATATGTTAAATTTTTTTCAGAATTGCTGTGTGTAAAAATTCTAACAGCTACCAAATTGGCTGCTTATGTATCTGGAAACAATACACATAAACATGAGACAGATACAAGAGCTATCACTCTTCACAGTGAGAAGACTGCTAGAAACTACACTGCAAAAACCAACTTTGTGTCCTTCTCACCATTTCCACTAATTTTACTCAATTAAATGATAAAACCACACAATCCTGAATAGACAAAATGGGTAACCTGCATCATTCCCATTACATTAGGGAAAGAACATTGAGATGTGATGCACATTATGACAAATGATGTAGTACTTATTCAAAATTCAGGTAACAGTAAGATGAGAAAAATTTGGGGAAAAACACAAAATAAGATACAACATTATACTCAGCTAGAAGCAGCTTAGGCATATGAAAATAAGTATTTTCCAGGACTTGTTGAGAAATAAAATAACATCAAAGTTCCACCTAAATATTCAAGCACATTAAATCAAAGATGCCATTACAAGAAAGTTCAACAATTTCTAAAGATGCAGTGACATTTATGGATAGGCTTAAGCCTGTCAAAACTTAGTTAGTGATATACTCATCTATTACCAGTAAGTGTAACTTTTACAATGTTGTAACTAACTGTACTATTAGGATTACATATTTTAGACAGTCTTTCATTAAGGCCATTCTAAATGGTCATTGGCATTAAGAAATCTTCCAAGCTAATAGAGAGAGAAAGCTAAGTCAAAGCACTTACCAAACTGACTAAGAACTGAGGACTGAGTAATGGGTGGTTTTAGATCCCAGGATGATGTGGTAGTTGTGGTAGTGGTGGTAGAGCTACTATTGTTTTGTTGAGAGGTAAACTGACCCAATCCTGGAGATTTCAACTGATCCAAGATTTGGGATCCTGTAGAATTTGCCAATTTAGAGGATCCGAGTTCTCCAAATCCAGAACAAAGAACTGCAGACTAGCAAAAGAAAAAAAAGAAGAGGGGAGGGAGTGAAGTATTTAATAAATAATTTGAACATAGCCATAGGGTCAATGCCTACAGCTGCTATCTGGCAGCAACTAAAGCCTCTTCAGCTCTAGATTACTAACAAATCACCAATAAAAAATTCAGCAGCTGTAGCATATGGCCAGATCCTCTCTGATTATCACTGATACAACTTCCACTACTATGGTGGCAACAATACTGATTTACCTGACTCCATGCATCTCAAAATAGCATATATTTACTAATAGTGGAACTGATTCTCAGGAGCAAATATTCAATTTCAAGCGCTCACAACTGACTCAGAAATAGGCAGGTTTTCAGAAAAATCAGTCAAGATATCTGCTTGGAAACAGCACATCATAATTTCCTGGCATAGAATTCCTCAATATAAACAAATCATTTAATCTTAAATCAGCATTCAGTAAACTCATTTGTGCTCTCTCAAAAATTAATACAAGTACTTCATGTAAACCAAGAAACAACTACTTACCAAAACCAGAAAAAACTTAAATCTTTTTGTGTGTGTGTGAACAGAATTAAGAATTCCATCCCTTCAACATCTGCAACCTGAATTTTACAATGTCCTGGGTCTGGCTGAGCTGGAACTGGTTTTCCCCTATAGCAGCCGCCTTCACGGTGCTGTGTTTTATGTTGGGAGCTGACAGGGTGTTGGTAGCACCCTGGTGTTGTGGCTACTGCTGAGCAGTGCTTACACAGCACCAAGGCTCTTTCTGACATTTCCCCCAGTGGGACGGGGTGGGCAAGATCTTGGGAGGGGACACAGCCAGGACAGCTGACCCAAACTGACCAAAGGGATATTCCAGACCATGTGACATCTGCTCAGTATAAAGCTGGGAGAAAGGAGGAAAGGGGTGGGGTCACCCTTGATCCTCCGAGGCAACCACTACGCGTATTGGAGCCCTGCGTCCTGAGAAGGCCCGACAGCGCCTGTCCATGGGAAGTAGAGACTAAATCTGCTTTCTTTTGCTTCTGCGTGTGCAGACTTTTGCTTCGCTTTGCTTATATTAAAACTGTTTCTGTTTTACCCACAAGGGTTGGTTTATCTTATTTTCTTTCCCCTCTTTGCCCTGTTGAGAAAACAAGGGGAAAAGGGCGGGGGGGGAAGTGATAGAGCAACTTGGTAGATACCTGGCATTTAGCCAAAGTCAAACCATCACATACAAATACTGAAGCATCTCATGAAATGACCAGTACTGGAAAAGTTGTTTAACCTGAAATATTTACTCATGAAGAATATTTAAAAAGCATAAATAATTTTACCAGACTTTGAGGAGAATAAGAGTTTACAGCACTGGAGCTGCCAGTTCCTGATGCCATCTGGGTGCTGTGCTGAGAATTTGTGAAGACTAAGGCTTGGCCAAAGGTCTGCTGCTGGGAACCCTCAAATGAGTTGCCTTCCATCTCTGGGGTGGAAGTCACAGGCTTTTGAAGAAGCGTTACCAAATCGATGCTGTCAGAAAAAGCAAAATTTGGCTGGAATAAACATGATGATTAGGCTGTGATGAAACTGAAGAAAGCGCTAACAATACTAAAGCTGCCACACGACACAATTATTACTCATTAACAGTCTTTTCAAATACTACTTGTCTGTCATACAGAAGAGGTTTTTGCCAGAAATTAATATTCCACTAGATGAAACCTTCCACTACAGTTCGAATATAAACTCGTTTTGCACTTTTCAAACTTTATCAAATTTATAACACCATGTATCCCATAAATTACTTATATAATTAATATAGCCAAGTAACCAGAGACAAGTCATAAAAGGTACATTACGTTTAAGTGAATACTGCCAGCAAACC